CCCTTTCGTTGCATACTTTATGTCATATCCAATAGTACATCAAATACATTTTTCAGTGTTTCAGAACCAGAAACAAATAGGGCAAAGGGTGTAGCATGAAAAAGATAAAGAATACAGTAAAGTTGCTTTTTGCTAGGAATTCAAATACAAAATAAAATTAGAACATCACATTCCCTCATCCCAAGAACTAATGATAGTGGGTGCTCACTTTTTAAAGAATTAGCTAAAACTTTATACTTAGAAAAATATATGCTGCCTTTCCAAAACTTTAAACTTATTGAGATATGACATTCTTACAAGAAGTATGCAAATAATAGATGTACTGTTGCATGAATTTTCCAAAGATAAAATTACTGTATAATTACCACTCAGATCAGGATTCTGAACACTCCCAGCACAGCAAAATCCATCCTGTGCTCTCTTGGTACCTCTTCCTCCCCAAATAACCATTTTTCTAGCTACTTTTGCCTGTTTGACAATTTCATATAAAAGGAAACACACAGGATATACTTTTGTGTCTAGCTTCTTTTGTTCAATATTATGTCTGAAAGGTTCATCTGTGTTTTGGTCTCTAGCAATAGTCCATTTATTCCCCGTGCTGTATAATTTAATCCACCTATTGTTGGACATCTGCACTGTTGACAGTTTGAAGCTGTTATGAATAATGCTGCTTATGAATATTCTTACATGTCAATGTGGGAGTTGTTTTGTTTTGTTTCATATTTGTTTGTTTGTTACCAGGGGTATTAAGCCCAGGGGCAATGGACTTCTCGAGCTACATCTCAGCTGTCTATCTAAACTATTTATTTTTAGACAAAATCTCACTAAGTTGCCAAGGCTGGCCTCAAATTTGTAATCCTCCTGCCTCAGCCTCCAAAATTGCTGGGATTACAGGCCTAAACCACCACTCCCAAGCAGTATGAGGGTTTTTTTTTTCATTTGTTCTTTATTTTGGTGCTGAGGACAGAACCCAGTACTCTGCACGGGCTAGGTAAGCACTCTTCCACAGAACTATGTCTCCAGCCCTCAATACGGGTTTTTAAATAATATTAGATGGTCTCTGTCCTGTAAGCAAAGATTTGAAAACTTAAATAATATATTATGAAAACAAAGCCAGAAATCATAATTTTATTTATATTTTATTTCTGGTGTCAAACACTTTAATCCAGGGATTCAGCAAGTCCATTTAAATTTCAATCTAAATATATGAACCAAACAACCCAACAACTATGGCTTATCTAATGAATTCGTCCCCAAAAGACATAAAATATTTTCATATAATGTTATAGTTTGTTGTTACAGATATTCAAACTCTGATTTATACTCTATTTTGAAATTATAGTAATGAAGCCCCCAAAGGTAGCTCTTGATATTTAATGACCTACAGCTATAGTTTGGACCTTAAGTGTTTCCCAAAGGTCTACATGGAAAGGTTTGCTCCCCTAAGAGATATAAATGGGAGATGGTGGAGCCTTTAGGACGTAAGTCTTATTGGGAAGTCTTTTAGGTCACTAGAGGCATGTTCTAGAAAAGGATAGTGGGATCCTAGTCCCTTCCTGGTTTTGTTTTATTTTTTTCCTCCCTGGCCTTGAAGTGAATGGTTTTGCTCTGCCACACCCAAAGCCTGTCATGATATGCTACCTCACCAAAGGACCAATCCATCATGGACTGAAAACTCCCAAAGTATAAACGAAGTTGATTATGTCAGGTATTTGTTATAGTAATGGGAAGCTAAAAAACCTACTAACTAATACTGTATCACTAAATTAGGTTTTTCATGGTTTAATCCTTACATTCAAATGTAAGTAGTTTCCTTTAACATATGCCTTTCTATTTTCTAGATTTAAAAACATTATTCTGAGAAGAGATCTATAAACTTTACCAGGCCACTAACAAAACAAAAAGAGAATAAGAACTGATGCTTTATTGAACTAAAATGTAAACACAGAAAACAAACAGATAATTCCTAAAAGCCCTCATAAGGCATAGGTATTGAGAGGAAGAAGAAGGTTTAAATTACTAATCAAGATAAGGCCAAGTTCATCATAAGAAAAGTATACCTGCATCCTGGGCAGATGGGATATGGGAATACAGAAAGGTTAATAAACTAGGAGGTGACTGGGAGAACACAAACACCAATCAACTGGAACTAAAAGGGAAAAAAAGGAGAGGGAAGAACCTATACAAAGTCTGGACAGGTTCTGTGATCTAGAAAAGAGAAAAGTAACCTAGGCTCCTCCTTGTCCAGAAAGAACCAAGCAGCCAGATAAGGAAAACACAGTTGAATATATCTGATCTGATCCTTAAAGCAATTGTATATAAACACCATCTCACTACCTGCTTTCTACTGTTGAAACTATTGTGCCGGGGGAAAAAACCTGTTTCATATTTACACACACAGAGATAGTATTAAATGAAAATGTCTGATTTTGTTTGGATGAGGATTTTGATCATCTGCCATCTTTACCTCAATTCCTGCCATCTGTATTTCTTTTTGTTGTTGCTGCTTTATTTGGGGGGGGGGGGGGGGGGGGGGTTTGTTTTGTTTTGTTTAATATTAGGGATTGAACCCAGATGCATTTTACCACTGAGCTACATCCCCAGCCCTTTTGTTTTTTTGTTTTGAAAAAGGGTCTTACTAAGTTGCTTAGAGCCTTGCTAAATCGCTGAGGCTAGTCTCAAAATTGCAATTCTCCTGCCTCAGCATCCTGAGCCACTGGGATTACAGGCGTGCACCACCAAACCCAGATCTACATCTGTATTTCTTTTTATTTTTTGTTTTATATATATATATATAT